AAGAAAGAAAGAAAGAAAAAGAAAAAAGCTGGCTGGTCTGGTGAAACACAGAAACTCAGACAGCAGCTTCTTAAAGAATGTTTTAAGGTTTATGCAGATTGTATCCGTGGCAGCTGCAGTAGGACCCTTGTAAGCTCTAGGCACATTTATATTCATAGGCTCTTGTTGTAGTAACAGTCTGGATGTTTGGGGATATAAAGGTATTTTCTGGACCTATATTCTTCAACAAGTTGCAGGGAATTTTCTTTTGTCCATGTTGCAAAATTGAATTGCAGTGAAGTTTACACACAATGAAATAGTAATGATGTCTTAAATTAATTTTAGGATGTAACATTTCGATTTTACTGTTATTTTTTATATTTTAATAAAAAAAAAACTTTTGTAGGCCCTAGGCACTGTGCCTTATTGTGCCAAATGGATAATACAGGGAGGGTATCCACTAGGTTTTCTTGAGCCTTCCCTGCAAATTTATTTTCCTGAACTTGCCTTACCTTTCAGTTCTGGCACTTCCATCTTTGTCTGATAGCTTCCAACTCAAGTCAAGATTGATGCCTCTGCTCATCTGATGCTTGGTGTCATGTACTAAGCCATGGTTTATTTAACCATGTTTTACATACACTATAAGTGGAGAGTGATTTACTAATCAATGACTGGGGTTACGGGAAATGCAAAGCCAAAAATAAACTATCTCATGACAATGTAGAACGAATGTACTTGATCAGAAATACAGGAAAAAGATGCTTTTTTATGACTCTCATTCAGAAAGATCATGTACAAAACCACCATTGATGTGAAAGGAGTCAAGAGATGATGCCTGCTTGCATGAATGAATGAATGAATGAATGAATGAATGAATGAATGAATGAACGAACGCTTGCATGAGCCCAGAATGAGAGTAGGCAGACTTGGGAAGAAGCCCCACTGGAATTTAATATGCCTGAATAATTCTGCCAGGATTCAAATTACAGTCTCTGTCAAGGAACTACTACAGGTAGTCCCTGGGTTAAGAACACCCAGTTTAAGGACGACCCATCATTAAGAACAGAGCCTATTGTAGCAATATTTGAGTTAAATACACAATGGTTTGAGTTCATTACACAATAGTACTTATACAGCATTATATAATAATACGGTTCTGGCTGACGTACAAATTCGACTTAAGGACAGACCTTGGGAATGGAACTCGTTCTTAAACTGGGGACTACCTGTACTTCATTTCTGCATGAATAACATGCAGTGTTATCAAAATCATTTAGTTGAGCTGAAGGTAGACCTGGGTTTGCTCTCTGTCAGAAGTGTCCATTTGGCAACAACTTGTCCCTTATCCCTCTTGGGGAAGAACTCTAGATGAAAAGTTGTTGTAGGCTCTCTTAACATTTCCAGGGCTTTCGTCCCCAAAAATTACCATCAGTTAAGCTGCTTGTTGCAGGGATTTCAGCTTTTAGTGTGCCCTATTTACTGTTCATTACATTTTTTTCTTTTTACATGCAGCTGTTGATCTGGATATTTTTTAAATGGCAACTTGTTTTCACTCTTGTTGGTTGTGCTGGATGACTCTGTCTTCAGTCTCTATCCAGGCAATCTGGCTTATGTACGTTTTAGGCCCTGGCCACTAGAAGAGGTTATGGGTTGCTCTGCTTTGCAGTGTGCAGAAGACAAAAATGTAGTTTAAAAAGTGCTCCTATGAGGTTTTTAAATTATTTGATGGACATGATGGTACATGATTGAATCTCATTTTTAATTTTCCTTTATTTCTGTGTCATCTGTGATCGAGGGCTAAAGCTCAATTTAATCATTTCAAACTTCCAGCATACAGATTTAGATATATTTGGAAAAGACTTTACATTTTAAATTCTTTTCTCCCTAAATGTTATGCACACCAGTGCTCCTATGTGAATCTGGGACTGGGAAGACCAAAGGAGAGCAGGATATCCCTGGACATGAATACATTTTCCATCTAGATGTTGTTAGCTTGACCTCAGAGTAAAGATGGCCTGGACTGATCTGCCTGGTTGCACAAGATTCCAGGAAGTGCAGAAAATGAAAAAAAAAAAAAGTGATTGGGGTATTGCAGAAAAGGTGGCAGTGAGATGGATTTTTCACAACTATCAGCCACACGTTGCCATGTGGACTTCTCTCCATCCCATTCTCTGGCCTGCAGAAATCTGAAAGCCTAGAATTTAGGACTACATTGGTATGTATATTATTTCTGCCGTTGTGATCCAAGGAAGGCCACACAGGTAAACCTTTCTCATCCTGATTTATTTATTTATTTTTTTGCCCAGGGAACCTATGACTTGTACCTATTTCTTCTCTCCCATAGCTCACAGGAATTTGGACAGGCTTGTTTTATAGTGCTTATTGTGAACAACAGGCTAGATAATGTATACAGGGTTAATATTTGATTTTATGTCTTGCTTTCTTCCGTGCTGGAACTCAGAACAGCTTATTTGCATTGGCCAAGAGGTCACCCGCCCACCAGTGCATTGAAGCAAGTGGAAACATACTTCATTTCAGCAAAGACTTCCAACTATAAATATGGCTGCAGTATCAAATTGCCTCCACATAAAAACAAAGTCTGATACTAAATTGCGTTATATAGCAAAAAGATTTGGGGCTTAGGAGGCAATTAAACATTTCCATCAAACAATATAATCATTTACATAATTTTCTCATTTACGTGGTTTAGTCGTGTTTTTTTAAAAAAAACCCTTTGCATTATTTATGTGGGCCATTTATTTGAGTTTCCTGTACTTTCAGAGATTTCTGAAATCTCCTTTTCACCCCTTCCTCATCAGAGGAAGGGCATTGTTTGCAGCAGCTCCAAGTCTAGCAAAAAGTCCTTCCAATGCCTGGGTATGTATCTGGGCTTCAGAGGAATCCTGAATCCAGTAGTTTTACAGCCCTCCCTCTAGCACTGTTTTTTTAGCCTCCTATGATTTTGTTCTGCAATCCTGAGGGTAGGGGGTTGATTTGCCTCTCCAAGATTTCTCAGACCTTGAAGAGAAATTCTGAAAAATCCTAGAGCTTTTAAGATGCTTCTCCCTCCTCTGCCCTACCCAAAAGAGTAACCTAAATCAGGGTTCCTCAACCTTGGCAACTTTAAGACGGACTCCCAGAATTCCCCAGCCAGGAATTCTGGGAGTTGAAGTCCACCCGTCTTAAGTTGCCAAGGTTGAGGAACCCTGGCCTATATCATTTGCAGTCACTACAGGCCCTTGAAATCATATGCTGTGGACAGTAATCCACAACTGCCTTACTTCCTTTTGGCCTCTGTGAGAGATATCAGTATGAATAATACACATGCCTTGCGACCTAGCATTCTGAACTCCTTTTCTTGTCTGCTTAGTGGCAGAAGACAGGAATGCAGAATCTTTCGAAGTCTTATCACTCATTCTGAATGTTTCTCTTCTAGTTCCATGAGACATTTCAATCTGATGTGGTATCAGGAAATAGCAAACAATTTTTTCCAGTGAGTAAGTAATTTACAGACTTGATCTGGAATGCATGGAGTATTACATTATTACACGATTTGCATCTTAGTTTCTCTCTCTGTGATTTTGATTTTGGTTTACTACTAATGTGGAGTCCTTGGGGTTCTCTGAGCTTGGTTCTTTTCTTGCAAACGTTTCATTACCTGGCTAGGTAACATCAGTGCTAGAATGGGATGGGGTTTTTACTACTAATGTGGAGTCCTTGGGGTTCTCTGAGCTTGGTTCTTTTCTTGCAAACGTTTCATTACCTGGCTAGGTAACATCAGTGCTAGAATGGGATGGGGTTTGCTCTCTGTTTATATACTGTGGCATGCCCTGCCAGTGGGGGTGGGGGTGGAGGTTTTATGTGTCTGTTGATTGCTGCCCAAGGCATCTACACACTATTCAAAAGAGACAATAGAAAAGAAAACAAAAGACCAGAACATCTCCTCACCAGCAATCATCACCCAGATAAGCAGAGATTACCAGCAGGCACACAATCAAGCAGTAAACAATACCCTAATCAAGGAACTGGGGGGGGGGGATAAAACAAAACAAAACCCACACACCCACTAACACTGGCAGGGCATGCCACAATATATAAACAGAGAGCAAACCCCATCCCATTCTAGCACTGAAGATGTTACCTAGCTGGGTAATGAAACGTTTGCAAGAAATGAACCAAGCTCAGAGAACCCCAAGGACTCCACAGTTCAACCCTGAGCTACACATATTTGCCTCTATTGTTACTACTAATGTATTTATTACTCCAAATGAGTACTGTATGGAATATTTTGTGATATTTATTCCCATCTGATGTTATGGTCTGGCTCTAACTTTCTTGTTTGGAAACTTAGAGCTTGGCATTCTAAATTGCATTCCCATAAAAAACTTAACTTTTCAGACAAGATTGATTTCTTAGAGTGACAGGCATTCTTTTCACATTATTCTCTCTATATATGAGTGTATGGATGTGGGTAGCAAAGAACTCTGTTCTGAGGAATCTTTAAATATGAGTTGAATTGGTTAAAAATATTAACCCATTTCTCTATATTTTTGAAAGTGTCTAACCTGCTCCACTTTTGCTGTTCCAGCTTCTTAAAGTCACTGAAGCACCTGTTTGGCAAATAAATACAGGTGACCAGCTCAAGTTAAAGAAAGCAAAAGAGAAGGAAATCTAGCCCTCCTCTCCAACTATGGCAGATTATGACTCCTGTAGTTCCCTGTCAATGTAGCCAATAGTCCTGCTGACTGGAAAACATGGGAATTGTATTCCAGCATTCCTGGAAGACTATGAAATGGGAAGGCTGTTAAATCAGTGAAATAATTGGCCCTTAAAGTGAGCAATTTGGTACCTGTTTTCTGATTGTTGCAGTTGCTGTATGCCAGTGGTTCTCAAAGTGTGGTCTGGGGACCCTTGGGGGTTCCTGAGACCCTTTCAAGGGGCCCATGAAGCCAAATAAATATTTTTAAATTTCTCAGTTTTAATTTCTAATGCAGTAAATATCAATAGATATACCCCACATAACCCAAAGCTCTTTGGGATCCTCAGTCCTTTTTAAGAATGTAAAAGGGTCCTGGAACCAAAATGTTTGAGACCCGCTGCTCCATGCAATGCTCATATTCTGGGTTAGCACTGTTAATTTGATACTCTGCTATGGCTACAGAGCAGAATATTCAGTTCTCTCTGTGTTTGTCCTAGATGTGGAGGGAAATCCGTGTCTTAATCACAGCCTTCAGTAATTCTAACTGAAAAATACTGAAATGCTATATGTTCCTGCAAGTAAAACTCATTACCTATGCTTAACGCTTGCTTTTATGCTAATTGAAAATCTGCATTTAGTGATCTAAATTAGCACCGGGATATGCTTAAAATGAGCAAGTAAGCAACCCGTATTAACCAGTAGAAAAGACATGGCTTTTGGAAGTGTGCTTCATAGTTCTCTCTCTGTGTTTGTCCTAGATGTGAAGGGAAATCCGTGTCTTAATCACAGCCTTATTAGGACGTTCGTCCCACGATTCTCTTTGAGGTGATCCATCCCTACGTTTCTCCTTTCTTCCCACCTCGTTCAAAAGCCTTCTGTTGTTTTACGAAACGTGCCACAATCCCTACTTCGCATTCGCTGCCCTTCTTTAACCCACTTTCATATCCCCCGCCTTCACCCTTGCCTCCTTTGTCTCAAACGTCAGATTGCAATTTCCTCATGAGTTTTGTATCTTATACAGCAAATCGCACGATAATAGTGAGATGAGAACGATGCTGCGGTGAAATAGAAACATTTAACTGGCATAAAATCAAAGGGGGCAGTTTCCCTAGCACGGAACCATTGTATTGGATTTCAGCTTCTTTTAACTGTAAATGGCATAGAAGAGGCAGATTAAATCTAACGTAAATGGCGAGCGGCAAATCTGAGGAAACGACTTTTGAACCTACAGCAAAGAAGGGCGGAACGCGTTGTACTGCGCGTCAATTCCTGTCGGGAAAGCTTTGGGGACGCGCGTTAGAGCGACGCTCTAACGGACCAAGACGGACCTTCTGGTGGGAACGGGATACGCCAGTAATTCCGCCCTGTCGCAAGATGGCGGCGGGGAGCGGGCGCCGGCGCGGCGTGCTGCGGCTCCTGATGCGGATCGGGTCGGTGCTGCTCACGCGCTTCCCGTTCTGGCACTGCCTCAGCGGCCTCCTCCTTAACGCCGAGCGCGCCGAGGTCCGCCGGTGAGTAAGACCTTCTCGAAAGTCGGTGCGCTTGCGGAAGCGCAGGGCGCCTCTGAGCCTGTGCAGAGTAATTGATGCCAGCAGCCTCCGTCCATTTAGAATCAGGAAGCAGTCTCCAAGGCCGGGGAAGTCAGGGGTCCCGAGCATCTCACGTGGAGAAGTGGGAGTCGAGACTGTAGCATGGGGGGGGGGCAGAGAAAATGCTCAGATCGGCGGGACGGTGTGCGTGAGAATGAATGGAAAAGGAGCGAGGCTTGGGGTTTCACATTGGGAGAAAGGGACATGTATTTGATGGAAGAGTTGGGATGGAAGAGAGGGACGGAAGCCCTCTGACGGGAAGTGACAGGGTCGCGAACAGAGTGGGCATCGTTAAATAACAGGTGAGTATATGCTGGGGATAGGAGGAGATCAGGAAGGTAGCCAGAAAGGGTATTGGTGGTGGGATCTCAGGAGGGGCATTAGTGGGTCAAGCTGGGAGAATGATTAGATTTGGGGGTGGGGGAGGAAAATGGGGGCAATTACAGGTTTAGAACAGTGTTTCTTAAACTTTCTTCTCTCAGGACCCCTTTCCACTTTTTTGGAAGGACTCCAAAAGAACTTTTGTTTGTATGGGTTATATTTATCGATATTTACTGTATTAACAATTAAACTTGACACATTCATTGCCTCTACTGCTTCTCATGATTGTTTGATGGGATTTTAATATTGTATTATTTTTCAACATAGGCTGGCAAATCATTTTGATTTTGCGGACCCCTGAGAGGGTTTTGGGGGACCCCCAGGAGTCCTCAGACCATACTTTAAGAAATACTGGTTTAGAACAACCTTACCTAGCTGTTTCTTCAAAATGTGCTGGACTGTGAGCACTGAGTTTATAGATCTAACAGAATAAATGTTAAACTCAGATCCAAAACAAGATCCCTTTGTTTTGGAGGTGAGGCTGGAGGCAACCATAAATTAGGCGACATCTGGCCATAATTGAATGTACTTATTTGGGCTGATTATCAAGAGAGGGCCTGTTGCAGGTCCCCCTTGAGAAATATGTGGAATGTGGACCAAGTGACAGGCCATCCCATTTTATGGAATAAAAAGTTCCCATTTTATGGAATACCCTCACCGTGGAGCTGTGAATGGCTCTGATCCTCCTGGCATTTTGTAACCAAGCCAAAGCAGAAGAATTCCAGCATACATTCAATAGTTAGGTGAGCTTTACAGCACACCCATGAAGTGTATGGATAATTTTTGATGGTATTATTTTAATCATTTTTATTTGGTTTTATTAGGTTTTGACTTTGTTGTACCTGATCTAGAGTTCATCAGAAATGGGGAGGGATGATGATGATGATGATAAATGAACCTTTTCTTTAGTGGCTCTCCAAATCATGATTTTCTGACTATTACCTTTGTTATCTTTTAACTGTCAGGTGAAGGCTACTTTGTTTTCTCAGGCTTGTAAAGTTTCCTGCTGATCCTTTTTTAGGGAGAGGATGGATAGACTGCTGTTTGGGGTAAATTATTAAATGCCGTGCTCATTATTATCTTCTACTTTGATGGTAGTCTTGCAGATTGACTCACATAGGCTGGTTATCTGTACCTTAGCTGCCTAGAACCTGTGGGAATAAATGACATGCAAGCAATATAAACAAAAATAAATGTATGTTCTTCTACTTATAATTCGTGATATCTGATAGCCAGAAGGGAAAAACAGCATTTTTCTTTTGCTGTTCTTTATGGCAGGTTGCCTGGAGATGATTCCTGGTTGCCACAGGTGATCACACCAGCACTTGTTTACATGCCTACGTGAGACATGCTTGAACAGTCAAGTAGCTTCCCAGATGTACTGCTAAGCATGTGCATCTCTTATCAGAATTACAGAGGAGTATGAAATAAAATTGATAAGAAAGCAAAGGATGATAGAATGTTGATAAAAGGATATAAAAGAAAAGTGATGTAAAAGAAAGTTGATGGGGTCAGAAGTTTTCAGCTCAAGATCAGCACATTATTTCCTCTCTTCTTAAAGTCCTTGTCAAGGGCTTCAGGGTAGTGGCTTCTAATAATGAGTTTCCTAATCTTTATAACTGCCTATGCTCTCCAAGGCTTAATGCTGAATTTCCAGTAGTTTTCAAAGGTGTCTGGGTTTAGCTCATGTTGGGTAGTTTTTTGGGCTCTTAAGAAAAAAGTACCAAAACTCTGTCAATATTCAGGTGGAGCTGTATTCTTTGGAAATTAAGGCCAAGGTGTGTATGTATGCATGTACCCTCTCTCTCTCTTGTGTGCAATGTTCATTTTTTTCAGTTCCTTTATGGAATAATTTCCTACCTTTATTTCCTTATCCAGGAAACCAGACATCCCTGTCCCATTTCTCTACTTTGACATGGGTGCAGCAGTTTTGTGTGCCAGCTTTATGTCCTTTGGTGTGAAACGTCGATGGTTTGCTCTGGGGGCTGCTCTCCAGTTGGCTGTCAGCACCTACGCAGCATATGTTGGAGGCTATGCGCATTATGGAGATTGGCTGAAGGTGAGAAAATTCGCTGCTCCATTTTTGGTATTCAAAGTCTGTTATAGATCTGCTTTATCACAGAATTAGCTTGGTCTTAAACGGGCCAGCATGTCTGTACTGATATTTTTCCTCCGATTAGATTTTGAAGTTTCACGTATAGCAGCTTTCAATGTTAGCAAAAGAGGATCTTCTAAACTATAAGTGTGCAGATAAGTATGGAGTGAATGTATTTTATGCTGGAATTACTTCTCATTTTATAGAAGTGGAAACATTTCCAGGTGTAATTGGATTACATCTCCCATCAGTCAGTGGAAAAGAATGAATATACAGTAGAGTCTCATTTAACCGACCTTCGCTTATCCGACATTCCATCTTATCCGACGCCCCTAAAAAAAACACAACACGCATAAATCAGCGACGAGAAAAATGTGCCGATTGTTTGCGAGCGTGAGTGTACCCTTTCTTGTTGCTCCTGACAGTGCGGCGCCGCAACGCAAAAATTTATTGCAACAGGCGCAGCGGATTGTTGGGTTTTTTTTTTTTTTACCACACTCAATCGTTACTGTGTGTTATCCGACATTTTCGCTTATCTGATGTTCTGCCGGCCCGTTTATATCAGATAAGTGAGACTCTACTGTATAAGTTTTCATCTGACAATATTTGGAGGCTTAAGTATCTCACCCTGTTGAGATCCTGTCCCAGTGTTTGGATGGGGAGGAACTGACTATGACTCCATCCTACCAAGACTGAATGGATATTAGAGCCCCCTAGATCCTAGGACTTTCCACCCATACTCTTGGGTGGATGGGATAGCACTTCCCCACTCAAGAGCGTGTGCAGTCTGGGGTCCTCTTGGATTCGCAGCTCCTGCTTGAAGAGGGCTACCCTTGAAAACCACTTGGAAGCTTCAGCTGGTCAAGAATGCAGCAGCACAGGCGGTGATGCCTGTGTGGCACCTCTGCTCCCCGAGCTGCACTGGTTGCCAGTCTGCTTCCTAGTGTGATTCAAGGTGCTGATCATTACCTGAAATGCCCTGCCTGCTATAGGGCCCAATTACTTGAGGGACCACCTGTCTCTCATGGTTTCTGCCCGGCTGGTACATGCTAGCAGAGTTGGTGTGCTCTGGGTCCGTTCAGTTAAACAATGTCATCTATCAGGATTCGGGAAGTGCGCCTTCTCTGACAGTGTGCCTCCCCTTTTGAATGTGACCCTGCCTGAAATCCATATGGCTCCCACCCTGTTGGTGTTCCGTAAAGCCTTGAATATTTGTTTGTTCTCCCAGGCCTTGATGTGAGACAGGTGGGGCCCATTGGGCATGTTCATTGTTTTTGTTTTCTGTTTGTATTTGTGCCCAGATGCCATCTTGTTTTGGGTTTTTAGTGGTTTTTATGTTACTATTTGTGAACTGTCCAGAGCAGTTGGAGTCAGGTTGTGTCCAAATTGAATTAAATCAATCAATAAATGTATAAGATTGTTCTCTACCCTGAGGCTCTGCAGGTCAGTACTGGCTATGATAATATTGATCAGTTAAATGTTGATTAATTAATTGCTTCCAGCTTCTTAATTAATTTTTTCTTGATGCCTTCCAGTATCAGATGTTGATCAGATATAAACATGAAAAACTTGGCTTAACTTCTTGTAATATGCCTAAGTTTAGTTCTTCTCTGCTGATGCTGACACACTTCTGTTAATTGACATTTCCCATTATATCCAAATCCTCACATATTTAAACCTGATAACTATCGTTTTTTTGGTTGGACATAATGAAAAGTATGGTTAATGGAAAATTTTCTGAGATAATATCAGTGGTGTGAAGGGAAGGGATGGCAAATATATAACATGATTTACGTGCTCAAATTGAGGCATCCACTTTCATCTCTTAAAAAAGAACTCAACACTAAGATGAGATAAAAGAAAGTTCTCTCTTCAGAAATTGATATATAGAGGATGTTGAATTCAACATGAAAACTTTACAGTAAATAGCATTCCTGCTTTTTTTTAATTGGCATATTTTGTTTTATTTTGCATTAACATGGTACAGGTTAGAATGTATTCACGAACAATAGCCATAATAGGTGGACTTCTGGTCTTGGCCAGTGGCGCTGGTGAGATCTACCGCCAGAAACCACGGAACAGATCATTGCAGTCTACTGGACAAGTTTTCATTGGAATCTACCTCATTTGTGTGGTACGTACATGGAAAAAAGTCTGAATTGACCCTCTGTTTCTTTTCCACCCTCTCTCTCTCAGTTTGCTGCTACAGGGTTAAAAACAGTGATGAGACAGGTACTGGACATACTGTGTGCGCCATAAGTCAGGGATCAGATTCATCAGGGATCAGCAGTCTTTGCAGAAGGCGGACAGTCTCACAAGTGCCTGTGTGTGAGTGCACACAAACATTCACAGAGGCCAAGATCTTGCATTTCATTTCTTAAAAAAATAAAATATAATTTTAAGATTCCACAGATGCTATTAAGGTACAATAAACACGATATTCCAATAGAAGAGAATATCTGTAGGTCAGGTTGAACTGTGGAGTTCTTGGTGTTCTCTGAGCTTGGTTGTTTGTTTGCAGACGTTTCATTACCCGATTAAGTAACATCATCAGTGCAAGTAATGAAACATCTGCTAGCCAACAACCAAGCTCAGAGAGCACTAAAAACTCCACAAACGCCATACAGTATTGCCAACCCCTGAGTTACATAAACAGGGAGAATTATGAGTATACAGGTAGTCCTCGCTTAACGATCCTAATTGGGACCAGAATTTCTATTGGTAAGTGAAGCAGTTGCTAGGCGAAACATCATGTGACCGCACTGCTTAGCAATGGCATTTCTGGTAGTCCCGGTTGCTGTTGTTAGGCCAGGACTTAACGCTTCTCCTGTCCCGTGCAAACTACCGGCTCTGTTGAAGCCCACTCATCTTAAAGTGGCCAAGTTTGGACAACACTGCCATAGAGGCATCATGGAGGCTTCGTGAGGGCCAGCAGCTGCCTCACACCTCGTCAGCAGCAGGAGGAAGAAGACGGTGAAGGTCAGCTGGGGGTGGCAGGGAGTACAGGGTGCAAGATGTTGCGAAGGGCCAGCAAGTGCCTCAGCTGGGCACGCCTCATCAGCAGTGGGAGGAAGAAGACAGCAGAGGTCAGCTGGGGGCAACAGGAGTGGCAGAGTGCAGGGCAGAGTGCAGGGCGGCCAAAAGGGCAGAGATGGGGGAAAGAAAGGCGGGGTGTGTATGTGTTGAAGCACATGCTGCAGTCATAAATGCGGGTGGGCTGCCAAGTGCCCGAATTTTGATTGTGTGACTGCAGGGGCCTGCAGTGGTTGTAACTTTGAGAACCGGTTGTAACTACCATTCATCCAGTGCCATTGTAACTTTGAATGATCGCTGAACAAATGGTCTTTAAGCGAGGATTCCCTGTATACAGAAAAAGATGCTAGTTTAAAATGATCTATTTTTGTCCCCTTCTTGACCTTAAAAGGCTTTACAGGTTTACACAAATACTCAAAGACAGCTTGTTTAACTTTTGTGTTTTTTCTTGTAATATTCTTTTTTAGGCTGTCTGAAATGTGTTAACTGTCAGGTAGTTTTAGAGTCAAGCAGGGGAGCAAGGAGAGACTCCAAATCTGGTAGAAATCTTTATTTAGAATTTCTCTTTTCTGATCCGCCCAACATGTAGTGTACTATATGGAGGAAATTGTGCGTGTAGGAGCAAAGGAGGCTCATGGTTGTGTGAACCTCAAAGGAAAGAGAGAGGAGATGCCAAACAATTACGAACATAATCCCTCACTTCCCTCTCTGCCAGAAGAAATCACATGCTAGCTGTAATGCTGATGGCTCAAGATTATAGATGTATACATTCTCGGCTTTCTCAAAGGCCCCAGGCTGGCATAAACTCTAGTTTCAGTTTGGTCCCAATTGATAACGAAGCTTTTCATCCAAGAGCTGACATTTTATTGACCACAGCTTGGTCTTAATTTTGATTTTAATTGGGGCCAGGACAAAATCAATAGAAAAATCAGGATTGTCCTGAAGTAATCAAGCTGCACAACTAATCAATGTTGTTGTAAATTTTTGCTTGATTACCTGGGTTGGCAGTTGGACTTCTGTATGTAACCTTTGGATGGGAAGGTATGAACACCCCCCCCCCCCCCCCTTTTTTTTTTTTTTTTT